ATCTAGACAAGCGAAAATTACCTGTATTTTCGCCAGCCCTCGACTAAATTATTTAACTGATTTTTACTCTGTTATACTACTTCGACTAGTTCATTGAGATCTGAAGAGCGCACTAGATAATGTAGCGTTATTTCGCAAATCAATCCGTTAACTTTAAATTTGAACTGTCAATGTACTAGCTTTTGCTTAGTGTGCCATGTGGCTTTTATTTTTCTTTATTTATATTATTTATTTACATATTAAACAGCTATAATATTTTTATATAGAGCGCCCATTGTCGTATTTGGTTCGGTGGTTACATAGGTCGAATTCGATTCGAAGCTATACTCTGTACGATTTGTTTTTGTTGACATTCAATTTATGAAAATACCATTATCGTCTGCTCTCTCTTTAATAACGCCCCCTATGAACTGGGAGAAAACATTCAATCATGTTAGTACGAATCAACATAGTATCCAAAGTCACTGCTCTCACTATACCAGCTGTACCTATTTCCTATCCTGCGCCTATCAACCTATATTTATTTTATTTGACTATAGTTTTGTCTTCCACCTAAAAAGAGTCTGACATCTCTTACGATTTAAAATCGCAAAGGAATTATTTTACAGATCATCCATTCGATAATTGAGCAAATTTATTTATGTTACCTATTTGCGTTAGCATTTATTATGTCACTATAATTTCGTATCGCGATATAATTAAAACAGAGATTGTAATATATGGCTTCGTATATTAAAGTGCAAAACAAAGTGTTAAGTTATTAAAATAATGTTATAAAAAACGATATAAAAAATAATGCTTTCGTTGCTAGTAAGTAAAAATTATTCTTTCGTAGATTTTCGTTGCGACCTGCCAAAAAAATTTGCATTTAGACTTCTCATATACCCAGGCGACTGAATCCCTTAATGAAAAAAAAAAAAGTCTCAATAGAGCCATATAAAAAGTCTTTGAAAATTCAGTGAAATCAAGAGATAGGAAACACCGATGCGCAATGTATTCACGCATCTATTTCCACGATGGAGACAATGAAGAACAGGACAATCACCGACGCATCTGAGTACGTGCGCGACATCGACGCCACATAAGCGGATCATGAGTACCACATCAATCGTACGTTGCCCACAGGGCACGCAATTAATCCAGTATACAATGTCTGGCAGACCCATGATTTCCTAAACCAGTAAGGAGAAGCGAGAAAAGAGAGTATTAGAACTCAACGAGTGGAGATCAAAAACGAAATGTATCTCAGAATTACGATTTGTTGTTACAATTTTGAAGAAACAAATTTTGTTATCTCCAATCAAAGTATGCGTCATTATTATTATTTCCAACTTTCTACGTTCACGATAACTGGATTATTATGCTGTAAATGCATCTATAATAAATTTTGACATCCAAAATCAATTTTTCATCATGAGTCATGATTAGGCGCAAGAATTTGTCACTGTCGTAACGCGAGAACAAGGAGAAGCAGCCACTACAGCTCTCGGCTCTATATTAATGACCTTCGCGGGAAATCTCTAACAAGACTTGTTTTCCATTTCAAACTCTTTTTCCCTGAATTTTTTCTAGTAGTGCTTCTAGTAGTAGAACCTTAATTGAATATAGTGTTTATACACCGAGCTATCTTCGCGACTAAAATTTATGTTCGTATATCACCTGAATTCTGATTTTCCGTGACTCACTATAACCTTCGTGCTAGAAATCTCACTAATGACATCCGAGTGGACGCTCTCGAACTAAGAGTGCAAGCAGATCTCAGATGTAAAGAAATGTCGCCAAAGACAATAGCACCATCATTAAAAAA